TGAGTGCTCTCCTCAAACCTCGTTTGAAAGACATGTCATAGCGCTCAGGAAACAAAATTTGGTGATGTCCATTCCAAAGTCGCATGGTACGTGACAAAAAAAATCTTTGGAAACGCACTGTGGATGAACGCAGTAGTTCTAAGTACTATTTACTCAACTCCGGTGGCGGGCGGTTTGCTGGTAAAAACGGAATGACGTGATCACCTAAAACATTATCTCTAACATTGATTTAACATAATTTACTGATTTTTCAAATTAATATCTAAGACAAAACGTTTTAACGTCCCACCTGATCTTAAGAGGTTATCGTGGCTAATAAACCACAACTCACTAACAACTAACTTTACAATCGCAATTGTTAATTGGTTGTTAGCATATTTTTTTTCATTCAACAGTTAGTGGATATTCTAAGGCGATTAACAATCAGTGTAGAATATGTACTTTATTCATTGTTCAATCTCAGATCTTAAATTACTACAGGTACGAACAACAGAAGCTTTCTTAAAGTACTCCGATATCGTGAGTTACAATAACGTGATGTAGATTTTGCTTGTACGGTAGGTAGGTAGTTATCTTGTCAATTCGATGTACTTCTGATAAATTAAAGTCTACAAGATGTGAAGGAAACTCTATGCTTACGTATTTTGTAATTGTAGATGCATTTGTCCGAAATTTGTTGTTACTGTTGAATATGGTGTAGGTACTAACCTGTCCCTACAACACTACAAAGAAACCGACGTGATTACTGTTTTTTATAATAGCCACGATATGAAGTAGATTTTATCATGAATAACCGTTACCATTTTATGAGAGACTCGTGACTATGCAAAACATGTGAACCATGTCCATACTGGGTATTTCTAAGCCTAGTCTACAAAAGTAATTTTGTTCAAACCAGATTACGGATAAACTGTAACAAGGTTTCGTAAGTGATTTATTTTATATTTTTTAACTAAACACAATAAATATTATTTAATCACGATTAACGAAAAGTATTTCTCTAAGTGGCATATATTATCCTGTCTTATTAATTGAGCACTAGAAATTTATTTTTATTTTTTATGGCTTGGTAGGGTGGACGAGCTCACAGCCCACCTGGTGTTTAGTGGTTACTGGGGCCCACAGACATCTACAACGTAAATGCCGCCACCCACCTTGAGATTTGAGTTCTAAGGTCTCAGTATAATTACAACAGCTGCCCCGCCCTTCAAACCGAAACGCATTATTGCTTCACGGCAGTAACAGGCGGGGTGGTGGTACCTACCCGTGCGGACTCACAAGAGGTCCTACCACCAGTAATAAATCGTGTTAAATTAATAAGACGGCTAGCCAAAGCTATAATTAACTCATAAATACTATCAAAAACGATTTATTGCGCCAATTACTACGAAATTCTTGAATTGTAAGGATAGTTTAGGTACTGATAATGTAAGGAGGCAGAAATTTAACAGCCCTTCCTTGAAAAAGTACAAATCCATTATCAAGCCCATCATTTTTGAGAGACATCTTAAGTTACGATTACGTGTTATACACGCGGTCGTGACTACAATACTTCTGAAGATCAACGCGACGATGACGACGAGCCTAAAATATTATGTATTTAGTAAAATTTTGCACGTGAATAGAATCGACCACGGATATTGAACAATATAATATGTATATGGTAAGCGGATTTCTGTAAAAGGCATTCCGTGACATATGTGTATCAATTTGAGTGCCCAGCGTATCCGAGGAAGTGGAGCAACGGAGAATCGTGATCCACGGTACAGACCGACAATGGGAACTATATTGCCAGATGCGATTCGATTCGTTGCGCAAACGCATCGACCTTCACACCGTCATCTAAACCCGTTCTAATTGTCTGAACATGCATTTCTTTAACCACCTAAATTAGTATGCAGCGATGCATTACGATTTGAATGAGAGTGATTTAACTAAACCTACGTCCCATTAAAATTAAACAGGCAACGGTGTCTGCTTCTGGTACGTAGGTATTAAACTAAAACCTAGTTAGTAACAAAATTTAGAGCGAAATCAAAACTGAAAAAAAACCGTCGCTAAAATTAATTAATCGAATATGTGCTAAAATTTGCAATCGTATGAAATTTCAGCTGGCCTATACTTTTCAGTATCAAATAACAGTGTTTTAAGCCAGCGAACATTTAGTTCGAGATGTAACATTGATTCATGAATTGTAGAAGGTGCATCGCGTTAATTACGCTTCATATTGCAATCGAAGCGTAAATAAATATAATATGAAGGTAGTCAGTGTTTACCGAAATTAATGAATTCATAAAAATCTATTTACGATCGATCAAAGCGATTGCTTTATAACGATTATCGGTTTTTGAGTAAACGAGGAAGTTTTTTGAAGACGTGCACCTAAATACACAGGAACCATAAAACAAATTTATGTACCGATCGAAAACAAACGTAAATACGGCTGTCGACGAAGATTCTTCAATAAATACTCTAAGTTAATGTTTGAAGTTGATTGGGATCGAATGTTTGGTGGGCACCAAGGATAGTCACGTTGTGCGTGCTGCAAATATTCAGCAGCCATACCATAGTTATTACCAATAATTAGATGTTACGGTTTTTATGACGGATATTTAAAATTATATGATGGTCTTGCTACAAGTATATCAGATGAAAACGGGCCGGCAATTTTGTGGTTGCAATCCTTGAATGTATCTATATATTAATACGTGAAGCAAAAATGCTGTACCCCTTTTTACAAAAATTGTGCGGATGGAGGAGTATGAAATTTCCCACTCTTGTAGAGAATATAGAGGAGTGCACAACGCTTTTTTTAAAAAAATACATTAAATCAATAAAAAAAACATTACACACACTATCATGTATTTGACACAACAAATATTATACCTACATTAAATATATATTATTATTTAAACGCTGTGTTTATTGACAAACGGTTGTTATTGCTTATAATCTGTGGTTGAATTGAGAATAGATTATTATTGTTTGTCTTTAATATTATTTGTCTATAGTGTAGTCTTGGCAAAATCTGTGATTAGGAGTAGAAAAACGTCTTTGACAATAGAACCGCAATAATGTTTAAACTTATAATTTCAATAATTTACCGTCGAATTTCGACTACTGCGGTACCACTAGTATTATAAAACATATATTATTCGGCTTACACTACGGGCGTCTAAAATTTTAAGATTATAATTTTTATTTGTCTATGAAGTTATTTAAGCCTGTATCGTTTTTTTGTCAAAATTTCCGTGTTTTGACGGTCATCAAATTTTCTGCTGTAAAATGCGCTTCGGAAACATATACGAGAAATATATACAGATCTCGAATAATAAAACAGATATATAATGATATTTATAATACTTTTATTATTTTATTGTTATGCCCCGATTATTTTATACCGTGTGTTTTATACAATCAGATCCATAGAAATTAAATTATTCATTTTTATATAAATTCTGATTCCGGTTGGGAATCGAAAGAAGGTTCCAGTCAATCAGGATCATTAGCCACTATTTTGTCTTTCTTGTGGAGTCCAATCGACCACTTGACTATAGTTGTAGATAAATTGTATAAACGAGTTTTTGCAAAATGGTCGAAATCTCCCAATATTGACATACCTCAAGCTTAAGATTCAAATTATTTTTTACATTTCTCTTTTCGTTTGTTACTGATATTCGAAAAAAGGTTCCTTTTTATTAATATTAAGCTAATTTATAGATGCATAAAAACAAAATAATAAATTTTTTTGACGGTAAATGGCATTTAAATGACGTTCTCATTTAATTTTGTTGAAATCGCTTTTTATGTTGTTAAAAATTTGCATTAAATTTTGCTAAACATACGTTCGAGAAAGTTGATAAACCCTTAAGAACATCATGGTCCATAATGGTCCTTTCAGAAATACTCAGCGGACACTCATCGTGAGACATGGAGCCAAATTCTCAATTGTTAAATAACGATGGGCCCGCCTTGGACAAGCCTAGGATGGTGGAACCAGCTCATATGGGCTAACAATATGTGTTACCAGTGAATGTCAGAGAACGCTGTTCCTCGTTACCCGGTGAATTATATACCTTTTTTTTTTGGTCAGTAGGAAATCGCCGGACTCCCACCCTCCATTGGGGATGGAGGGCGGGGTATATCGGAGTCGAACCGACTAAAACCTCCTGTCGCTCAACAACCCACATCCGAGCCTCGAATGAGACAGAACTCATGAAAAGGCAAAGGGGGAGAGTGAAGCGTTTAGTGCGGAGCACATCTCTCCCATCACCCTCCCCCTCGAATTATATACCTAGTCGCTTTTCAGATAAAGGTAGTAGGGTGGAGTTATTCTAGGTTGAGACAACACAGTCACATTTCACTAATGTAAAATTATGTTTGAGAAGAAATGCATATAAGGATTGCTTTCGAAGGTTACGTATTTGTAAATGTTTTCTACCTTAAATCATTCTGAATGAAACAGGAAAGGCACAAGTAGCATCTGGGATTGAAGATTCCTAAACCTTGGTTTCTACGTTATATAATATATAAGGTATAAATAATATATAAGATGTTTTGTATAGCATACAATACGTTCTCCAGATTCCATGGACAGGAGCGAAATAGGTTAAATACGTACCTGGACTAAGATGAATCGCAGCGAAAAAAAAACAAAAGACACATATACAAAACTACGATATGTTAAATAAATTATTTTTACTTACAAATTATTAAATGCTTTTTCGAGTTTAAGAACTATGTAGCTAAAGTGTTTAATTTGTAGTTAGAAGCTTAATGTCGCCCAGCTCTGAAAGAATGCACTTTGCGCACAAAATCTTTCGTAATGCTGTAATTCCATGATCTTAATTCTATGGCTTAATTTATCGTCCACGAAGACTTGCGTTAGTAGATTTATACATATTAATTTAATTGATGTTAAGACTAAAGGAGTTGCTTAAAAAATATTTTAGTTTAAAAAAGCAGTATAGCTCTATGAAGTTAAATATACATGTACTTACCATTCTAGAAGTAAATAATAATATTTTTAGGTAATGAAAATTGTCGATTTCAGTTTCCAAAAAGCACCTTTACACTTAATTTACAGTATAAAACTTTGACAAGATTTTAATGAAAAAATTTGCCGCCAAGTTTTGTATGCGTTCCGTACGCATGCGCAATGCGAGTGCACGTTTCGTCTTCTGGCGCTGTTTTGCCTATGACAAGCGGAACCGTTCGCTAGGCTCTTTCTCCAGAGCCTCAGTGATTAAGGCCTGTGCGCAAGAAACGTTTTATGAAAGCATGCACTGTAGGTGTTTCTTTTTGCGTTTATTTAGATGCGTAGATGGACAATCGAATTCACGATCCATGTAGTTATAAGAGTTTTCTGCATAGACACCATAGCGTCATTGATTATATCACCTTAAAACTACGAAAAGAGGTTGAAATCTTAATTGTACGTATTGAATTCGTTGTCTTTTGTTCATTAAAAAGAGAGATCATTGTAAAGGGAGTACTTGTGTCGGAGTCTCAAAAAATGTGTGTAGTGGAATAGACTCCTAGCGACCGAAAACATGTGATTTTCCTTCACTACTGTTTCTGCAACTGATATAAATGTATACTTTTTCGCAGTCAGCTGACTCTGGATCTACTCGTATTAGACTCATATTAAAAAATAATTTTAAATTATACGTATGACAGAATCATTCATTCAATCAGTATTAACATGTTAGAGAATATGTTAAAATATCTACTACTCACCTGCCTGCCTACTATGTAATATAGTGATTCGTATTTAACAGTGTGCTTAGTGCGAGTTTCTTAAGGTTCTCGATAGCGTAAAAGTTAAGTCAATTTTGTATGTAGTTGGAACAGCGTTCCTAGCGGCAAACACATGCAAACGATCCTATTCCATACAAATATGAACTAACTTTTACGCTATCGAGAACGTTAAAAAACTCGCACTAAGCACACAGTAGAGCCGTAGAAAGGTATTTTGTAACAGTGTCAACCAACATCGAATTGTTGAGTGAAAACTGCTCGTCACCTCAATCAATACTTGATCCACAATAGTGAATTCGCCGAAGACTCGCCAGGTCAAGTGCCAGGGCTGACATGTGCCTCTGTTTATTTTCGCTTTTATTCAAACTACATAAATGAGAACTGCTAGCTCTTCAAATTTGTAGGTATAAGTGTCGAGTATCAATAAATAAATTGTTGCTACCTACCTAAAATTAAGTACCTACCTAAATACGAGAAGCAACAAACTTATTAACAAGATGAGAATTCATATTTTAAAGAATTACAAAGGTCCACTACAATTTATTGAACTTTTTGAAATGTTTCAATTCATGAGAATGTTCTTAATGTCAAAGAGACAAAACATTGTCAAGTTTTTAGTAAAATGTGTTAAAACGAATTATTATTGTCCGCGTTTATTTTTATGCGTATTTATGTTATTAAATTTTGAGACTTATGTTTTACAAAAAAGCATTCGTAAGGAAATGTTTGCAGAATTTATTGATATACTCGATTTCATATTAATAGAAAGCAATAGCTTGTATGAAAAACTCACAGACAACCTTATAATTATACTAAGGAAAAATTTTAGAAAACCCAGATGCTGTGATAATTATCTTGTTTAAAACCGTATTACAAGTANTAAATTCGTTGTCTTTTGTTCATTAAAAAGAGAGATCATTGTAAAGGGAGTACTTGTGTCGGAGTCTCAAAAAATGTGTGTAGTGGAATAGACTCCTAGCGACCGAAAACATGTGATTTTCCTTCACTACTGTTTCTGCAACTGATATAAATGTATACTTTTTCGCAGTCAGCTGACTCTGGATCTACTCGTATTAGACTCATATTAAAAAATAATTTTAAATTATACGTATGACAGAATCATTCATTCAATCAGTATGAACATGTTAGAGAATATGTTAAAATATCTACTACTCACCTGCCTGCCTACTATGTAATATAGTGATTCGTATTTAACAGTGTGCTTAGTGCGAGTTTCTTAAGGTTCTCGATAGCGTAAAAGTTAAGTCAATTTTGTATGTAGTTGGAACAGCGTTCCTAGCGGCAAACACACGCAAACGATCCTATTCCATACAAATATGAACTAACTTTTACGCTATGGAGAACGTTAAAAAACTCGCACTAAGCACACAGTAGAGTCGTAGAAAGGTATTTTGTAACAGTGTCAACCAACTTCGAATTGTTGAGTGAAAACTTCTCGTCACCTCAATCAATACTTGATCCACAATAGTGGATTCGCCGAAGACTCGCCAGGTTAAGTGCCAGGGCTGACATGTGCCTCTGTTTATTTTCGCTTTTATTCAAACTACATAAATGAGAACTGCTAGCTCTTCAAATTTGTAGGTATAAGTGTCGAGTATCAATAAATAAATTGTTGTTACCTACCTAAAATTAAGTACCTACCTAAATACGAGAAGCAACAAACTTATTAACAAGATGAGAATTCATATTTTAAAGAATTACAAAGGTCCACTAAAATTTATTGAACTTTTTGAAATGTTTCAATTCATGAGAATGTTCTTAATGTCAAAGAGACAAAACATTGTCAAGTTTTTAGTAAAATGTGTTAAAACGAATTATTATTGTCCGCGTTTATTTTTATGCGTATTTATGTTATTAAATTTTGAGACTTATGTTTTACAAAAAAGCATTCGTAAGGAAATGTTTGCAGAATTTATTGATATACTCGATTTCATATTAATAGAAAGCAATAGCTTGTATGAAAAACTCACAGACAACCTTATAATTATACTAAGGAAAAATTTTAGAAAACCCAGATGCTGTGATAATTATCTTGTTTAAAACCGTATTACAAGTAATTCAGTTAAAATCTTGGTGTGTAATAATTTTATAATGGAAGAAGAGCCAGCATTACCTTCATCAGTCATTCCCACTTTATCTAATACAAGCCAAAAAGATAATAATATTGAAGGATCCCTAGAAGAAAAAAACACTGACCATCCTGACGAGAATAGTAAAGAGAATCGTGTCAGCATCAAGGAGCAACATACTGAAGAAGAATTAGCTGTAGACACAAAAGACGTAAACGGTGATGAAGAAAATGTTGATTTCAAATTAACAGGAGACAATGAAGAAGTTCTGGAAGCGACAGAGGCAGAAGGAAAAGGTGAAAAAGATGAGGAGCAAATTAAAGAAGAAAATAAGCCAGAGGAAGAGCCAATTGTGGAAGAAGATGTATTTATTGAAGAACCTCCACCTGATCCTGCAGCTCCTTTTGATTTTAGCGACTCAAAAGAGGCTCTAAAGGAGCCCTTTGAACTGAGACCTGATCAACTGGCCGAAGTCGAACAGCTTTGGGATGTTTACCAAAATTATACTCCAGCATATACTGACATTGACGGTTATATAACAGAAAAAGAATTAGTTTACATGTTAAAGAGCCTTCTTTTGATGACATACACTCCTGAACAGCTAGAAGAGTTGATTGCTTATTGTGTAAGACCACCTCATGCCGAGGGCCATATAACATTTGAACAGTTTCTGAAAATGGTGACAATCAGACAAAGAGATTTTGAAATAGAAGATGAATTGCGTTCGTCATTGCAAGTTTTCGATCCCGGCAGAACGGGTACCATTGATAGGGAGTATTTTAGAGAAGTGCTAGCGAAACAAGGCCATAAAATGCCTCAAAAGCANATACTAAGGAAAAATTTTAGAAAACCCAGATGCTGTGATAATTATCTTGTTTAAAACCGTATTACAAGTAATTCAGTTAAAATCTTGGTGTGTAATAATTTTATAATGGAAGAAGAGCCAGCATTACCTTCATCAGTCATTCCCACTTTATCTAATACAAGCCAAAAAGATAATAATATTGAAGGATCCCTAGAAGAAAAAAACACTGACCATCCTGACGAGAATAGTAAAGAGAATCGTGTCAGCATCAAGGAGCAACATACTGAAGAAGAATTAGCTGTAGACACAAAAGACGTAAACGGTGATGAAGAAAATGTTGATTTCAAATTAACAGGAGACAATGAAGAAGTTCTGGAAGCGACAGAGGCAGAAGGAAAAGGTGAAAAAGATGAGGAGCAAATTAAAGAAGAAAATAAGCCAGAGGAAGAGCCAATTGTGGAAGAAGATGTATTTATTGAAGAACCTCCACCTGATCCTGCAGCTCCTTTTGATTTTAGCGACTCAAAAGAGGCTCTAAAGGAGCCCTTTGAACTGAGACCTGATCAACTGGCCGAAGTCGAACAGCTTTGGGATGTTTACCAAAATTATACTCCAGCATATACTGACATTGACGGTTATATAACAGAAAAAGAATTAGTTTACATGTTAAAGAGCCTTCTTTTGATGACATACACTCCTGAACAGCTAGAAGAGTTGATTGCTTATTGTGTAAGACCACCTCATGCCGAGGGCCATATAACATTTGAACAGTTTCTGAAAATGGTGACAATCAGACAAAGAGATTTTGAAATAGAAGATGAATTGCGTTCGTCATTGCAAGTTTTCGATCCCGGCAGAACGGGTACCATTGATAGGGAGTATTTTAGAGAAGTGCTAGCGAAACAAGGCCATAAAATGCCTCAAAAGCATTTGGATAATCTCATAAAAGAGGTAGATATGTCTAACGACGGAACTATTGGCATAGAAGACGTTGTCGGTACCATGTGTATTGATCTGAATAAAGAAGACTTAATGATGCTTAGAGCATCAGTTTATCCGCCAGACGAACCTCCAGTGGAAGAAAACTTTTGATTTCTGCCTACAAAATAATAACAATGTAAAACTTAATTAAATTATGAATGCGCGTTTACACCGATATATTTACTGTGTTATTGTGAACGTCAATTATTATTTTAACTTTTTAATTTCGTGCCAAAACCTAATACCTAGATAGTTTTCTCATAATATTTATTACAGACAAGTTAACGGATTACATACTGTGTACAGTATGTGGGTATGAAGTTTTGTGAAGCTTGCCGACACTAATATCAGTTCTGAGATATCCACCATAGCCACCTTATGAGCGACAACACTATTTCATTTTATTCAGTCTTAATACAAGACGATTGATAAATAACTTAATTTCATAGCTATAAAACTCAATTTGAAAGTAACACTGGGTATATATTCTAGATATGAAGAGCAGCCAAATGGTTTCCCTCTTACTCGCTTTAATTGTAGTTCAGTAAATTAATGAATTTACGCGCGAATTTGACTGTGCTTTCAATTCGTTAAATATACACGGTGAATTTAATCTTTTAACCCATAATGAAAGAGTTCAATGTTCCTTACGTATTAGGATGCGAAAGTAAAACAATTTTTTTTCTTACGCTTTTTAAAATATATTTATAGGGGTATATTTTAACTAAAACTATATTTAATCGGGCGTTTTTATTGTCATTTACGTAGGTGTGTCTAAAACTAATATTAAAAATTGTATAATATTGTCCTCGAACGTGACATACTGTTGGTACCTATAATGGGGTGATTAGGGATTAAGAGGTGAATGGGAAAAAAACCAGGAAAATCTTTCGACGCTCAATTTTAGTTTTTTAATCGTTGCAAAATCTTCCGTTTTTTGTAGTGTAATAGTAGAATGTTGAAAGTTCACAAAACAACTCTGAATATGCATGAAAATAGCTGCTAACTTATAAAAAATCGCATTTCAAATTAACTTCTTGTGATGGTAATTATTTTAGTGCTAGAAACTTTGCTCTCTCTTATCTATTTGATAATAATAGAAGACGACTGTGATTTATAAACGTTATTTAGTGTTTGAACCATCATATATATTAAAGGTAAGTCTCAGTTGTTATTGGTTATAATGTTTTTTGATAATATAAAAATACATGTAAAAAATTGTTGTTTTTGGGGATAATTGGGACGTCTCAGGTACAAGTAACAACGAAAAAAGGGTCAATTGGGATGAGAATAAGTTAAATGGGAACGACCTAAGTATAAATAGTTACAGGTTTGTAGGGTTGTCTGTAGTTATAACAATATTTTTTAAATGTGTTGGTAAGAATCTGGTTTATTCATGATCAATGCAGTGCTATTTTATTGTTTGGCAAATATTTATATTATCAGTTACGTATTGTTTTCTATTTTTAGATATGCCTCGTGTGTATGTATTAAAGAGTGCAAAGCCTTATAAGAGATATTATCCCTTATTATTAAAAAAAGCAATAGAAGCCTATGAAATTGGGAATAAGTCTTTACTTGAAATAGCTAAGCAATTTAACATAAGTAAGTCGACTTTGCACAGACATGAATAGAACAATGAAATCTCAAGGTAGACAAAAATGTCTAAGTAATACATAATAAAATATATTCATATTTGTTCAGAGTGTTGTATTCACCTGATTAATCCATGGAATAACCGACACACCTAATCTCTTAACCCAGATAAAAATATCAGCCCCTAAGTACTTACCAAGAACAAAGAAATATAAACCGTTTATAAGAAAGCCCGCTCGTTCGAATTTACCTGTGCATAATCTCACTTAAACAGAATCCTTTGGGACTACAATCATGTCCACGGTAGCGCGGTCTCCGTCAATGTTCATTCGGAGTTGTCCGATTGCGCTGAACTAATTTTAAGTGATGAAATATGTAGATATTTTTTCTAATTGTCACAACTTATAGGAAAAATCTGTCGTGGATAATTTCCCAAGTAAATATAAATTAATCATAAGTAAATAAATGTAATCAAGTTTTAGTTATATATATTTTTGTTTTTGTTGTCAATGCACTGTCGATTGCACCTTTATTTGAGGTGACATCTGCCATGTACTTTTGTCAGTTTTCAATGCTTTTTATTGATGATCACTTTGTTGGTGCAACTAAATAAATAAATAAATTAAAACGAAGTAATGCCAGCCCTAGCAAATTTATCTATTAACACTAATTTCGTCCCCATTAATCGCAATTACCGGCTAAATAAGGGATAACATCTTTTTTGCTTTTTTTGCATAAACTGGAATGCTAATTGCATAACTTTAAATTGGATAACAAAGATACCCCCAAGACTCAATCATTTTGATCCTTATAAGCATTTTAACATCAACAACTACCTTAAAATGTTTCATCAAGTTGGAATTTGTCCCTACTCAGTAATCACCCCGTTTTCCGGTACTAGAACTGTTTTGATTTCTATTTATACGATTTGGCGACAGATGGCATTACTCGTACCAGCAAATTAATTTAAATTATATAAAATATGAAAAATTACTACTAATTACACCTTTTATTAATGGTTGAAATATTAAATTAAATTGTCAAGTATGTATTTGAAAATTGTCGTTACATAGGTTGAGACTGATAATTATATAAGCCAATTGCAGCTCACTGAATTTGGCCCCCTTTTTTTGATTTTCGGATTTTTTTTATTTTTAATTATTTGTCCGTCATTTGTTCGTTAATGTTCGAATGTAAAAATTGTTTGTTCATCTTTTATTTATTTCTAATTAATTAAACAAATGATCACCCTTAAGTGGGCCCCCTTTACTAGATATCTTTATTTTTATCGCTCAGATTAATTAATTTTTATCAATTATCGTTTGTTCGACGACTTTTTGTGATTGTTCAATCATAAAAACGATGAAATTCCCAATTATTAATTATTTTATATCTAATAAGCAAACCGTCACCTTTTTTTTTTTTTCGGGTAGAGGGCCGAACCTCCTACGAGGTCCCCGCGCAAAAGGGGCGCGCGGGGTATGTGAGACTCAACGATCTGCATGGTGTTGTGAGCAGACCGCGGGCCCAAGGATTTTAGGACCCATCCACTAAACGACTCCCCTGCACTCTTACACCCGACGTTCGATCCCCTCCGAGGTCAGAACCCGGATGAGGTAGGGGGGCTACCGCGGTCAACACTACAACCAGACGGCGCGGCTCACCCCAAGGACGCCCAGTCAACGGAGCCTTCGAGGCGAATCGAAGTTTGGACGAATCGTTTGGAAGTCGTCGTGGCCTAAAGGATAAGACGTCCGGTGCATTCGTTGTTGCGATGCACCGGTGTTCGAATCCCGCAGGCGGGTACCAATTTTTCGAATGAAATACGTACTTAACAAATGTTCACGATTGACTTCCACGGTGAAGGAATAACATCGTGTAATAAAAATCAAACCCGCAAAATTATAATTTGCGTAATCACTGGTGGTANATTTTTTAGCCTATACTATCACTTAATTGCGTGATGTAAAGAAGGTTAATGTGTTTATCAGTTAGTTTATGTAAGTATTATAGGTAAAAGAAAAGTATATATATAATTACTTTTTTTTCGCGACATTTACCTTGTAATATCTGCCCGGTCGTATGTTCTTTATAGCAATAAAAAAAATTAAAAGTTAAAAGAACTCAAAAACTTTTGTTATTTCAGAATCTATTCACGCGTCGAATCATGATTTTGTTAACATTCAAAACGCACACACAAATAAAAACAGGCCTCAGATTTTAAATGTAACATTAATTAAAAATCCGAGATATCCAATTATGAGTGAGTGAATTAATTGAGTTTACTTATTTAGCTTAGAAAGAATTTCTTTTATTTTTGTTATTATTGGCAGTAATCAGGTAAAGCTGTTTTTTTATCTTATTCACCTGATATCTTACTCTTGCTCAAAGATTATTTTGAAAATGTTGATTAAATATAATTGTATTATTGCATTTCCAGTCCTTTTGTTTTCTATTTTTTATTCTATTTTATCATTTTGTTTCAGAGTTGTGATTTTTAAGGAAATTAAATAATAATTTTCTAAAATATAACATGAATAATAATATAACATGAATGAAAATATAACAAATATAACATTCTAAAATATAATAAAATATAACATACTTTTTTTGATCATTGTATTGTTGATTATCATTCACGTCACATCGCTTCGGAATAGAAACCAGCTTAATTTACACTATGTTGTGTATTGTGCTTAAATTATGGATTGTATTCATCATTTCGGTCCATGTAAATAATTATATGGCACCTACCTATATATCGCAGTACTGCGAGTTGACAACCCTTACAAATATCCCAATTTAACCCTTAACCGTGTCAATTTACCCCGGACGCTGGGTAAATTGGGACGGCCATTATTTTACCGATTATTTCTTTAAAATTAAAAATTAAAATTATGTAACGGTTTTTATCACCTAGGTACGTTCAAGACTCAACTTATTTCTTTGGTTGAGCAGTGACTATTTAATTGGAACTATTTTAAAATTCAATCTGAAGGTCGATTTTGTCCCTATTTACCCCATTGTACGGTACACCTTTTATTAATGGTTGAAATATTAAATTAAATTGTCAAGTATGTATTTGAAAATTGTCGTTACATAGATTGATACTGATAATTATATAAGTCAATTGCAGCTCACTGAATTTGGCCCCCTTTTTTTGATTTTCGAACTTTTTGGCGGGAACGCGAGGTGTCAAGTTGTGCGATTTGTTTTATTTTGTCTATTTAGTGTTTCTCCAGGTTTAAATGCGTAATAATGGTGGTTTATTAACTGTTTAGTATCTGTGAAAGTGCACAAATGTGGGAAAATGAAACAAAGCCGTTGGATGTAACTTTTCGGGATCCTCAAAAAAGTCCACTGAAAAAATCTCAGTAAACGATCACAATTTTACTGAGATTATATTTCACCCCATATAATCTCATCTCATTTCATTTCATTTAATTTCATCCCAGTTGATTAATGTCTCAAATTCTTCATTTCATTTTACTCCATATTATCATTTTTCATAAAAATATCCCATATCATCTCATCTCATTTCAATTCATTTCTTTATATTTTATGCCATGCCATATTTCATATTAAATTAATCAGCTTCATTTCATTTCATAACGGTTGAACGGCTGTGGGCTTAGATCTTATTCTCAAATATATTAAGTGTATAATCTATGGCTTAGATCCCCTTGCCTTTCCTAATAAGGAGAAATTGTACAAAAAAAAAAAGTTGGAAACCTAGGAACGGAGTGAATTTCAGTGAATTTTAAAATTGAACAAAACATCAACTAACTCTAATTTTTCTTTCGAGCTCTTCTACACAATATAAGCCGAAATAATATATTTTTTTGGTGTAAACTTTTGAATATGAAGCACTACATTGTATTTTTGTTATTGTTAGGAGCTAATGAATGTAAGTCAAGTAAATTATAAGTAATAACTTAGCACTGGGTGTGGTTTTCAGCGTTTAAACTTTTCTGAATACAATTAGATCATTCACTTCATTGTGAACACCGCTGAAGTAGAATATTTATTTATACATTTATACTCTTAAAATATGTTTCAGTTTCTAACCACGAAATAGTAAAATGAAAATATTATATTTACTTCATTAATTATTATGGAAAATTTGTTCTATACGAGAAAAGCGCTGACTTAATGTGATATCGTTATTTGATTATAAATGAAGATCAGTCTTCAATATTTAAAGTACAAAATAATTCCAATAGGTTTAGCTACATGGTGCTACCAGTGTACAGCGGCTACTCCTGGTTGTAATGAGCCTTTTAATTGGCGTGGAATGGGATATCTTGGCAATCCATGTCCCGAAAGTGAGGATGTTTGTGTTAAACTTATTGAAAGGAAAGGAGGTGAGACTGAAATTACAAAGTATATAAAATAAGGTTTTTCTTATCATTATTTTTAGTATGTAATTGTAGTAAGTTCGTAACTTTGAATTAATAAAAATAAAAATTTTATATTTGTAGCACTGTAACATTATTTTGTATACAATATCTTTTTATCGCTTAGGTTGCTAGCTGGGCTCATGGGTCATCTGATGTTGTGCTTACTGGAGCCAATATACACATTAATCATGTAAATGCCGTTACCCACATCGAGATATGAGTTCCAAGTCTTAGTATTTACTGTACAACAGCTGCCCGACCCTTTAGGCCGTGTAGTATGTGCTAATACAGTGGCAGTACCTACCTGTGTGGGCTCACAAGGCACCCTATGACCAGTCATAATACGAATTATAATTATTTTGGGCTTAATTTTTTACCGCTAAATGTTATTCCGTCACCATGGAACTCAATCGTAAACATTTGGTTAGTATGTATTTCATTGTAAAAAATTGGTCTATCCTGCTCTATTACTCTACTCACCAGGTGTAATATCTTTTAGACCACAATGACTTCAAATCGTTTCAACCATGGTAGTTTATTCCATTGAAAGATTATTTACACAAAATGATAAATACTTAAACTGAATAAATTTGTCATTTCAGCACAAGAAGTTATTACAAGGGATTGTTTAAGCAATTTTAGAGCTTTCCGAACCGATATTCCTGCTGATACATATGAAGGATGTCGTCCTGCTGCTAAAGATTTAAATCTTGCTCATTATGTCAATAATAGTATAAAAGAGATTGATGTTAAAAGGTAAATGTTATTGGTTTTTTTGCTTAGTCATATGCAAGGGGTGAAAGAAAGGCGATTTGGTTTACAATGCTTTTGACATTTTGCTATGCAACATTTATCTTTGTAACGAAAGGTCCGTTTTATTTGGTATTAGCATCAACAGTTAGATGTTTTTTTAAAAATTGAACTTCATTAAGTTTACTTAATTCGAATAGCTGAAGTTTTTTTTGTTGTGCTATATTTTCCAAATTTTAACCTTTAAATGGCTCTCCAGTAAAGTTGCGAAGATGTTGATTAAATCAAATAGCCTTCGATATAATAATGCAGGTTTAAGCTGAAGGCCATTGCATATTATTATACTATTAATGTCTTCATATTATGATCAGTATATTCCTAGTGTTAGTATTTTTAAAGTGTTCCCCAAATGCTGTGTAATACAGTTGATTTAACACTTGGAGAATGCTACCGCTCCTTTTTAAATGTCTTATTTGCTTTTTTAAATGTACGTGGGAAGAGATTAGGTAGAACTATTCTAGGAGGACATAAACTGCTAACGCGCTTTTCACATCTTGATTTATTTTTTATTGATTAGATGGGTGAACAAGCTCACAGCCCACCTGGTGTTAGGTGGTTACTGGAGCCCATAGACATCTACAACGTAAATGCGCCACCCACCTTGAGATATAAGTTCTAAGATCTCAGTATAGTTACAACGACTGCCCCACCCTTCAAACCGAAACGCATGACTGCTTCACGGCAGAAATAGGCAGGGTAGTGGTACCTATCCGCGCTGACTCACAAGAGGTCCTACCACCAGTAATTACGAAAATTATAATTTTGAAATTGAACACATTTTGAAATTGTATCACTATTATAATTTTGCCATATTAAGATAATGTGTTCCAGATTGAACAACACAGAAGCTATTATCGCAATTTAGTTTTGGAAACTAGGTTTTTCGTATTTCGTGATCTGTTCTGCTCCTTTACATTAATAACAACAATGTAATGACTGATATAAAAGCTGATTAGAATTTAATTATATTTTTTTTCTAGAAATTGGTACGATGAAACCATATGGTGCTTCTGTTTTCTGGACCACCGCTGTAACAATGCATCGAATACATTTGTTTCAATAGCGTTGCTAATGTTATCCGGTGCTACTATATTGTTCAACAAAATATTGTTCTGATATCCCTGATGTAGTGTTGACTACAAAATGCAGAGCAAGCACTAGCTGGATAGTAGGTACTTTTGAACACGAACACTTTTTTGTATATAATGTTTTGCTTTCACCGTTTTTTCTAGCAATGATTTTATGAAACTTTTGACTACTCAAGACATTGACATTTATTGTGGTGGTAGAAAGAGTAAAAAATATTGTGTGTTTTAACATTATTAATGGAAATTTGATGATTATGTCACAATAAGGCATCTGAGTCGTCTATTATCAAAGGTGGCAATCTGTGCATTTGGACAAAAAAATGTTATTGATATGTCAATTCAGATTTATTTGAATATAATCGTCTCCTTCAAAGAATACGGCTCAAAACCTGCATTAAATTAGGTTAATACTTAACCTGTTATTTATCTAAGATGTCGTTCAGAAGAGTTTTGTGACTGCCAATGGAATACAAAGTCAATAATTCGTTTTTCTGATTTACCAATAATTGTCCAAAAGTCACATTGCCAGCTTTGATAATAGACGACTCATCTGTACTATAGATTGTGGATAGATAGTTCTCTGTAATACGTATTAGCTTGTGCTAATAGCTGTGCTTCAGAAAATCGGATTGGTCACAACCAAAAACGCTCTAGACGTTTTTCCGGCATAAGCTAAAAACTGAGTTCGTAGTGAACAGTCTGTGATTGCTCGTAGATTTGCATTAGTACATATTACATTGAAATATGAGACATCACATGATCTGTGAAGTAAACGTCGTTCTGGTACTTTTGTATTGTATTTTATTGATACTTTTTTATAGTATTAACGAATTATAAGTGCAAGTAAAATATGTATATAATGTTGAAGAACTCAGACTTTCAGTAAAAGATGGCAATACACTGCATCTTGCTCTACAATCTAACACTGGCCCTAGCAAGAGCAGTACTTCGATGGATCAGGAGGATCCGTAATGACGTGCCGATTAGGGCCGATTTTTGTAGTTTACCTGAATATTTGACAGAATTGGAATCAGCTGCCTTTGATTTTATAGGCTTCAATTGTACTATTCATGGATTGGTCATTAAGTTTATTACGTTCCATTACACGTAATAATTTCGTAAAATTTTGAATTTGGCCACGAATAGAAAAAAGGTAATACGAACTTAATTTGTAATTATCAATAATTATAAGTTATTTCAACTATTTCTGGTAGATAATGTCTGTAAATCGTCGCTTAGCTAACAATTCCTCCCATGTTAAATTTGCTTAGTGTGTAAGAAAAAAAAGAATGTATTTTAAGGTTTTTATTAGATTTATGTAATGCTTCCTTATATAGGTTTACAATACGCTAAATTAGCTACATACAGACGCAAAAAAAGCATGAGTGTGAAGCGATGGCGTTAGCCTAACGTTGTCATGTTTTGTATGTACTGTAATTATCTTGTACTAGGTATCCTTTTGTATGAAATGTTTACGAGCAGAAAAAAAAAAGTAAAGATGCAATGAAAAAAAATGTAACTAAATAAATTTTTAAACATTTTTTGATGAGAATCTTTGATGTAAATTGGTGTTGAAAATCTTGATGAAAACATTATTTGAGTCGTCTATTATCAAAGGTGGCAATCTGTGCATTTGGACAAAACATTTTTATTGATATGTCAATACAGATTTATTTGAATATAATCGTCTCCTTCAAAGAATACGGTTCAAAACCTGCATTATATAAAGGTTAATAGTTAACCTGTTATTTATCTAAGATGTCGTTCCGAAGAGTTTTGTGACTGCCAATGGAATACAAAGTCAATAATTCGTTTTTCTGATTTACCAATCATTGTCCAAAAGTCAGATTGCCGCCTTTGATAATAGTCGACTCATATA